AGGGATATCACCCTGCGGGGTGCCTGCCCTCCCTGGGCCACCCCCAACCCAGGCCTGGGGAGGATCTGGGCAGGGAGGGAGACCTCAAATCCCTTGCTCCCTTCTGGGCTCAACTGTAAGAAGGGGTGCCAGCTGCAACCCTGAGAGAGACCTGACAGGACAAGGCTTCCAGGCTGGGAGGATCAGCCCGGGTTAATGAACCACCCAGAGAGCGCAGGGCTCAAAGTCCAGCCCTGCCCTGGAGGGGTGAGGGAAAAGCCCTGCATCCCCTGGAGCCCTCTCCCGGCCCCCTGCAGGCCTCCCCAGGCCCCCCACCGAGAACGTGGCCCTGGGTGGAGGCAGGGAGGAGGCTGCCACCTACGCCGGGCCTGGGGTGGGGAGCAAGCCCTCCCCACCGCCCTTGACCCCTGCCAGCTCCCGCTCGGTAATTTATGTTCCCGGGGAAAGCGCCAGTCTGAACCTCTGTAAATTTCACGAGGTCTTTGTATTTTTACTGCCCGGCCCATCTCGTTAAGGAACCGGATTAAGTTTATTGACCTATCAACTCCCTACCTGTTTCACCGGCTCCGGCGCAGAGGCGGGGGCCATCAACGCCCCGGCGCCCCGGGAGCGGGAAGCCTGCGCGCGCCCGTGCGTCCCCGGCTCGGCTCGCGGCGCCCTGGGCTAGGTGTCCGGAGGGGGCCCGGCGCCCGCCCGCCCGGGTCTGGCCCGCTGACACCCGCAGGAGTAATATCTTTATCCGAATGCGCATGCTAATGCGCCCCCTCCCCCGCCCCTTCGGCGCCCTGGAAGCTCGGCAGTGCGAGCAGGCGCTAAAAGCGCGCGCTGACCTCCTGATGGCCTCTGTCACGCCGCTGAATGACACGCGCATTCAAGCGCCGGGCCCACTTTCATTCATAAAAAAATGACATTGTTCCGGAGGCCGCAGAGCCGCCGGGGAGAGGGGCGCGGGCCGGGGCGGGGCGCCGCCATCTGCCCGTCCGCCGCGCGCACTTCCCTGCGCCGCGCCATCAATGCGCGGTCTGTGGCCGCCGCCGGGTACAAAGGAGCGGCTGTTCGGTCCCCGCCCGGGTGGGGCCGTCTCACCGGGCCGGGCCTTCCTCCGCACGCCGGGCCACGCTTGGCCGGACCGGGCGACACGCGCGCTCCCCGCCGCCCGCGGCGCCACGGCGCTCGGACCGCGGCGTCCCGTCTGCGCCCCGCGACCGCCCCGAGCCGGACTCGATACGCGCTCCGAGGGGGTCCCCGATCCCGCCGCCTGCAGAGCGGGGTAGGAGATGACCTGGCGGCTGTCACCTGGCCAGGCTGCCAAGTGAGGGCTGGCCGAGCCTCGGTTGACGCACTCCTACCCACCCTGCAAAGTCCGGCCACTCGCTCGCGCTCACGCTGGCCACGAACAGGCCCGGGGAGCGGGGGCCCAACAATGGGAACTTCACGTTCGCGCAGAACCGACGGACAATGGGCGTCGTGGAAACTCAGCCGGGAGCCGAGGACAGGGCCAGGGACGCCACCACCGCGCGCGCGGAGGTGGCGGCCCCGCGGCCGCAAACACTACCTCGTCGGCGAGGGCTGCGACCTCAGGGACGAGGTAGCGGAGCCCCGATCGCCCCGGCGCCCTG